TTGCTTCTACTTCAACTTCTACTTCTATTACTCAACTAGAAAGGTGAGAAGAATTTTTAACTTCATCTGATAACTCAAAAAGCAATTTAGAAGAAACAATATCATTACCTACTCCACAACCTCGATTTATTCAAAAAATTTTTAAAACTTTAACCCCTTTTAGTCCTCAACAAATTGGATCTTCCTCTACTTCTGAATTACATCAGGAAGATACTTAATTTGTTAATACTGAAGCTTTAATTACAGAAAAAACTACTTTATTACTAGTACATACTATAGACGAAAAAATTACTACAACTATTTATTCATTTGAGCAGAACTATTAATCTCTATACCTCAGATCAGAACACCTAGTCCACTATTTAAATGTTTTTACTTGGATATTCCAAATATCTCTAGTTCAACTTCTACTTACTCTTTACTTTATCCTCGAATTTCTAAAACAACCTATATATATAATTATCTTTTCCAAGAGGATTTAGACTATTTCGAATGACTAGGATTAGAAAATTTATCTGAACAAAGTTTTTTATCTTTATCCAAACAGACAAACCTCAAGCAAATACTAAACTCAAATAGTTCAGATACTGATGAAAAACAAATATAGATCAAGCTGCTGTTGCTATAACTCGTTTAGCTAACTTTCTTGCTAGAGGAAGAAAAAAAAAATCTCTTATTAAGATTAAACTATTTAGAGAAGATGGTATTAAAGATCCTGTTGATTGGATTAATGAATTTGAACAAACTACTACTGCTAATAACTAAAACGAAGACAGAAAACTCGCAATTGCCAAAGCTTATATGCATAATAATGCAGAAGACTAGTTGAAGGAACTAGCAGATAATACAATCCAAATATATAATACTGATGATGATAACCATTAATTCAAAAACCTATTTTTAAAGCAATTCATGACTACTAAGAAGCAAGCTATGTAGCAACAAGAAATTTTCAATTTAAAGCAAAGAGCAAATACTATTACCCTGTTAAATATTATATTGATATCCAAGATTATACTTACCCTGCTATTATTAATAGTAGAGCCTTTGTCAGTATGATCTCACACCAAACTGTAAAGAAATTAGGCCTTAAAATTGAGAAGCTATCAAAAAGTCTTATTGTTACTACTACTGGCACCACCTTTAGACCTCTTGGAATTATTAAAAATTTGCCAATTAGAATCCAAAGTCAACTTATCCCTTTGGATATAGAAGTTGTACTAGCTATTTCTTACTTTATTTTGCTTGAAAATGATTAGTCAAAGAAAGTAGAAGCCAACTATAATTAGAAAATATGTCAATATACTCTCTATTGGAAAGAAAAGAAAATTGTTCTTGATACTTTATATGAGCAAGAAAAGCCCAAAGAAAAGAAACCAACCTGTACTACTGCTAAAAACTTTAAATTATATGAGCAAGAATATTTAACACCTCATGAAGCTTATGTATTTTCTGCATTCTCAGAAGATGAAGATCAAAGAAAGCTACTCTGCAAAACCTATGGTCAAGCTAACCATCAGTACAAGGATTGCCTCAAAAATCAATATTATTATTGCAACAAATTTAGACATATACTTATCAACTGCCCCAACAAACGTGAAAGGTCAAATAACTGTAAAACTTGTAGACAAACTGCTCACTTGTTCAAAGATTGCTCAGATACCTAATGCTATAGCTGCAAATGTGGTTGTGACAAAGACCAAATAGAAGAAAGAAGAATAACCTACCATAGTAGAAGGAGAACTCATCATTGTTGGCATTGCTATACCTCTCAACAACCTGACAAATTATACAAATTAGAAGAAAAACTTGCTTATACTGCTTGTTATAAAACTTACTATAAAGCTCTTGATCTAGAAGACCCCAGAAGCCAGGAATATTATAATACAGGACTTGGTAGAGGAACTCTTGTCCGATGCAAACTTTGTAATATTTAGAAACCCAGATCAAAAATATATAACATAGAAAGCGTATGAGAAGAATGAATTAGAACACATATATACTTATAAAATCTTTACAGACTTTCAATATAATCTAAACTATAAGATTTAGAACAGAATCAAGCACTATACTGAGTCTACCAGGAATGCTGGATATTAGTATGATTTGAATCAAGACCGAATTTATCGTCTAGTTAAAGTTTTACTTGACGAAGAATATAGAAATATAGAAAAAGCTATAGAAGAGCAAGAAGATAATAGATATAACCAACAATAGACCCCTAAAGAAATTACTATCCTATTTTGAGCAGAGCAAGTATTGCTTACAGAAGATGAAGAGGCTACTCTACAACAGATCCTAAATGAATCTTTTAATACCTCTTAACCTGACTTTGACACTCGCAAAGCAATTGAAAACCTAAGAAAAAATTTTGAAGGAAAAGTAGCTCTTTGCCAAGAGTGTCTCTTTGCTAAACAAAGTACTGAACTAGAAGCTAATCAAGATTTCTGTGATAAATATTATCAAGAGAAAAACAAACTCTCTTCTGTTGAAGAAACAATTACAGAAGAGATGCACCAAGATAATGTTATTATTACAGAACAGCTTCTAGAAGAAATATGTTATGATATTACTATTATAGAAGAAAAACTTGAGATAAGTGAGGATACTATCTTTAAGGAAAGGAAGAATGAAGAAAAAGATCAAGTTATTGCTCGATTAGAAGCCAGAGTTTAATACTTGAAAGAGAATTTTAAAAAGATAATGAAATTTTTCTAACAACAAATTCAATACTACCAAGAATGAGCTAATTATTATGCTCGCATGACCTTCACATAGCAAAATTTTTGAGTTATCCTAGACAAGATGAAAAACTACCTAAAGATTTAGAAGAATTGCTAACAGAAGAAGAAGCTTTGCAACAGGCTTTGCAAGCTAATACTCTTAAATACAATTTTGTATATACTATAGATACTTTAATTCTTTATGAGGAATATATATTAGAAAAGACAGATACTGTAAATATAGCACCACTTACAAAAGAACAAGAACAAGTATTCAAAATCTTGTTAAAAGAATTTGCTGATCTGTTTGCTAAGGATATTACAGAACCTTACAATGTCTCTCTAGATGAACAAGAGTTTATCAAACAAGAAATTAAACGAATGTTAGACAGCAATATTATCTGACCCTCAGAAAGCCCTTGGGCATCACCTGTTGTTCTTGTACGGAAGAAAAATGGAAAGTTAAGATTCTGTGTTGACTACAGAAAGTTTAACAGTATTACTAAGAAAGATGCCTACCCACTGCCTCAGATCCAAGAAATGTTAAATGCCCTCTCAGGATCATAATGTTTTTCAACTTTAAACTTAGCTAGTAGATACTAGCAAGTCATAATAGACTCTAAAAATAAAGAAAAGACTGCTTTTATTACAAAATATGGTACCTATGAGTTTAATGTGATGCTATTTGGGTTGTGCAATACCCCTGCTACTTTCTAATGACTTATGGATCAAGTTTACAAAGAAATTATCTAGAAATTTGTAGTTGTGTATCTTGATGATACTAAAGTATATTCGCAGATATTTAAAGATCATTTAAAATATCTAAAAATTGTGTTTCAACAGATAAGAAATGTAGGATTAAAATTTAACCTTAAGAAATGCAACTTTTGAATGAAGTTCTTACCCTTTCTTGGCCATATTATTAGCTCTAAAAAAATAGCCCCTGACCTCTCAAAAATTAAAACTATTTAGAAGATCTAACCCCAAAGAACACTATCAAGTTATGATCTTTTTTTGGTTTAGTTAGATATTATTAACAATTTATTCAAAACTTCTCTACTATAATCTGATCTTTGAACCAACTTCTCCATAAAGATAAACCCTATCATTGGGGAGATAAGCAGCAAGAAGCATTTGATATTCTTAAGGAAAAGTTGACTACTGTATCTATCCTAGCCTACTCTGACTTTAGAAAAAGATTTATTCTTGCTACTAATGCCTCTTACCATAGCTTTGGAGCCACTTTGAGTCAAAAGAATAAAGATGGAAAAGAATATCTTATTGCTTATGCTAGCAAAAGTCTAATAGTAGCAAAACAAAATTATTTTGCAATAGAACTAAAATGTGCTACTATTGTATAGGCTATTGAACATTTTTATAGCTATCTAGAAGCTACTAAATTCACTTTTGTGACTAACCACCTTGTACTGAAATAGCTTAAAACTGTAGAACCAAAAGGACAAATTGGACAATGGATTTTAAAATTACAACCCTACAACTTTACTATTATACACAAACTAGGTAGAATTCACTCTAATGTGGATAGATACTCTCTCAAGACTCTGACCAACCAGAATTTTAATAATAAATTTAGATCAATATCAAAATCTATTCAACTATTTAAATTCTGATATTTTATCTTCTGACTTTACCACTTATCAATGAAAACAACTTCAAAATCAGGCTAAATATTTTATGATTAAAAATATATATTTATACAAGAAAAACAAACAAGACTCAGACAACTATTTAGAGTTGTTAAATAGACTGAAGTAGACCCTATTCTATATATGATGCATAGTCATTCTACTGCTGGATATTTGGGAATAGATGCTATATACCATAAAATTGCAAAATGATATTATTGGGACCAGATATATTGAGATATTAAAGAATATATAAAGATCTGTGAAACATGCTAAAGAAGAAGCAAATCTAAGAAAAAAAACTACTATATCCTATCAAAATAGGACAAGCTTTTAAGAGGATTGAAATTGATCTAGTAAAATCTCTACCTATAATTACTCGCAACAACTGATATATCATTGTTGTAACAGATTATCTAATACGTTAGCCAGAAGCCTGAGCTATACCAAATGTAAAAGCTCCTACTCTTGCCAAATTTATCTTTGAAGAGATAGTATATAGATATGGAACTCCTAGGACTATTCTTTCTGATCAAACAAAAAATTTTAGAAGTAAAGTAATCAAAATCTTATGTGAAAATTTTTTTATTTGATATAAATTTTCATCACTATATCACCTTCAAACTAATGATATAGTAGAAAGATTAAATAGAACTTTATGTGAATCACTAGCAAAAGTAGGAACAAGTAAAGACTGGAATCTTAACTTGCATACAGTATTATTTGCTTATCGAACTAAAAAACATGCTACTACAGGATATACTTTATTCTAGCTAGTATATAGGAGGCAAGCTATTTTATCGATAAAGTTAATTCTTTCTACTACTGAAACAAAAACAGAAATAAACTTAGAAAATAGTATTTTATCTTGAGCTTTTAATTTTATGGATAAGTTAACAGAAGCTCAAGAGCAAGCCAAAAAGAATACAAAAAATTCTTAGAAGAAACAAAAAAAAGATATGACAAGCAACTAAAGCCAAAAGAATTTGAAGTTGAAGACAAAGTTTGAATCTAACGAAAGAATATAGAAGCATTATGTTCTGTGAAATTTGAAGATAAAAGAATTGGACCTTTTACTATTTATTCTAAGCTTGACAATAGTGTTTATCAACTTATTAATGATAAAGAACAAGTTTTACAAAAATATTATAATAGTGATAGACTTGCTCGATATCATAAACGACAATATTGGGAACCCCAAGTTATTATTAATACTCTGCTATCTGAATCTTAAAAACTTAAAAGATTTATTATTTATTTTTATTTATTTTATTAGCATTTATTACTTATCATTTTATTATTTTATTAATTTATAACGATATTATTTATTTAATTAATTATTTATTTATTATACCAATTTTATTAATTATTATTATTAGAATTAGATTTAAAATTT